GGAAGGGCTCCAGCCGGGAGCTGCGTCAGGACAGAGCCCCTGCATCCCCCAGGACCTCCCGCAACCCCAGAGCTCCATAAACACAACATTAACAGATCGATACATCAGTGCAGGAGCTCAGGAGCACCAGCAGGGCAGTGCGAACAGCTGGGTCTGCAGGCAGAGGCACACCGAGCCGAGGAGCGGGTCCAAGGGAAGCCAGAAAAACCACGTTCCTAAGGAAACATCCTGCATCGAGCCCTGGAACCGGGAACGGAACCAGGAATTAATTACAGGCTGATTTGGCTGCCTTTATGTTGTGTGTTCAGAGCTGATCCAGCCGGAGACAGGGATGGAGACACGCACGGGGGGAAGCCGGCACGTGCAGGGATCTGTGGAGCATCCCTGTGCCCACCTTTGGCTTCACCACCCATCCTCCTCCAGCGCCAGCACTGCAGGAGGTGCTCACTTGGTCTGCTCAGCTCTTTGCCCCCGCAGTAAAAGCAGCCGGTAGCCCCAGAGACAGAGCAGGCACCTTAACACTGCCCCCAGCCCCTGCTGTGCTCTCGTGTGGGTCCATGATCTGTTCAAGCACAGCTTCACCTCTGCCCACATCAACCAGTTCCCCTCCAGGCAGGCAGATGCTGTTATCCTGGGTCTAGAGGAGTGGGTACCACAAAGGAATTGGGTCTTCACTCCCATCACTCCCCCCACGGTGACCTCTCAGGATGCTCCAGCACAGCCCAAACCTCCCCAGGATGCCCATGCATGCACTGTGGATCTGCTGCCTATTCCTGGGCTGAGCCCGTACAGGCTGCTCCAGCACCCTCATGACCCTGCTCATAATGAGCACATCTGCCATTAATTTGGGTGTCAAGAGAAATTCCACTCATTTAATTAATATGGCCATAAAATAAAGCCGGGGCCTTGCAGGAGGTGTGTGCACCAATGTCAGAGGGGAGAACCAGAGCCCAGCAATGGGAAGAGCAGTTGGGGTGGAGAACTGCTTATAGGAGGAGAGGTGGTTATAGGATGAGAGAGGACAGGGAATTGGGGGCGTGGAGGAGGGAAATCCCAGCAGAAGCACTTGTGGCCTCAGCACTGAGCGTCCCAAAATGCAAACCTTGAGTGACCAGAGCTCAGCCCTCCCTCCCAGCACAGACTGCACCCGCAGCATCCAGCCTGCCGCAAGCTCCAGCCAGGGAGGAGGGCGTTCATCAGGCACCTGTGACTGAGTCACTCGGCTCCCTCAGGAACCAGGGGGAGCAGACTTGCACCCGGAAGCCTTTCCTCTCCCTTCTCAAGGGACCCCAGGTAAGCGGTTCACGTGCAGAGATCTTCCTTCCCGATCCCTGCATCCACAGCACACGCGGAGGCAGCAGGGCCGGAGCAGAGCAAATCATCCATTGGGACCGGCACAAATCTTCCATCTCCCTTCCCATCCCCAGCGGCACTGTTTCACCATAGTGAGATGCTAAAGAACCACCCCAACAGCGCTCTCCTTGCAGAGCCCCCACTGCAGCCGCAGGAGGATTCAGTCTCCTTCCTCAACCTCTCCATCTCCCCCCCCTTCGGTTTCACTCCATCCTATTGCTTCTTCCCATCGATATCCCAGAGTTTTACACTGCTGCTGTTACCCCACAGCTCCAGCCCCATGCCCCATTCACCACCAGCACTCAGGAGCAACCAAGCCACGAGACCTGCTCAGAGACTCCTGAGCAGCCATAGAGAAGAGCATCCTTGGTGATAAGGAAAGGCAAAGCTTTCCAACATGGCAGCACTGAGTTGTTGGGAACCAGAGACTGGATACACCCAGAAAAGCTCATTTCCAGCAAGCAGAGGGTTAAAGGAAGAGACGTGCATGGGTTTGCTTGGGAAGGACACTGGAGCTCTAGTCCTGGAGTTTCTATTAGAGGAGGTTTCATGCATTACAAAGCGATTTTCCCTTCCCTCCTTCATAAGCCAATTAGATAAAGACCGAGTTAATCCCTTATTGTGTTCAGAGAGCCACAAGTAGACACCAAACACGGAGATTAGGCCCTTGTTCAACCCCTGCCCGGGCCTGGCAGCCGGGAGCAGGGAGCCCTGAGCCAAACGGAACAGAGCCTGGGCCTGGGGGGGCTGCGAGGCTCCCCCCATCACAGCAACCCCCATCCTGCACTTGAACCCCCCAGGGGTGACTTCAGTCTCAGGGGGTTTCCTGCATTCCGAATGGGACCGGTGCTGGGACGCAGCAGCAGCCCTGGTGGGGTGCAGAGCGGTGCTCAGGGATGCTTTGGGGCTATTTTTCCCTTATAGGGGCTGTTTTCCCCCATTTCGCCCCTCGAGGCGGAGGCATCCCCGGCGTGGGGAGGGTGCAGAGCACAGGCAGCAGCGTGACCAGCGCCAGCTCTGCTGCAGGGGGACTGCACAGGCAAGAGGCAAACCCCAGCTGCAGACCCCCAGTAGTGACACCCCCATATCCTGACTGGGAGCCTGGGTTTGACAGGGCCCAGCCCTCCCCAGCCTGCTCGGGGCAAACACGGACCAGAAGCACCCAAACCACGCTAGAGCCCAGGCTCTCACCCGCTCCAGCAGCAGAGCCAGCTCAGGGGGCCAAACCCCACACACTGAGGAGCCTCCTTCTCCAGCAGAGCATCCCCATCAGCCCCTGTAAGGCACAGCTGACCCCAGGGAGGTGCTCAGCACCCTCAGGTCAATCTGCAGCAGGGGTGCTGTGAGTTTGGGAGGAGCCTGGGCCAGCAAAGCCTGGACCAAGGGAAGCAGCAAAACCAGAGGGATTGCTCTGGTGTTCTGCCCATGAGAGCTAAGAAACAGGAGCCCCCTGCCCACAGGTGCCTTTTGTGCCTCAACCCGTGCGGGCTGCAGCAGACCCTGCGATGTTTCTGCTTCGTGGTGGGGTGGGAATGAGAAGCGGATGAACTGGTTGGTGCTGCCGGTGGTCCCAGGAGCCCTGGGAGGAGCTGGGAAAGGCCCCACACCAGTGCATCCCAGTAAGCACTCACTGGTTCATCCCCTTGCTCTCAGCAGTGCAGGGGGTCCTGCAGGGCTCACCCCAATCCATCAGCTTTGGCAGGAAGGGAATGGAGAGCTGGAGCCCCTCAGTGTGTGCTGAGGGGGGGCACAGGGGGTGCTTTCAGAGGGCGCTGGGCTCCCCCCCCAGCAGAGCTCATGTGCAGACACCCGTGCACAGCAAACCCTGCCTCCTTAAGCCGGACTGAGCTTCCCCTCGCAGGCAGTGCCCAGAGCTGCTCATTACAAGAGTAATTCTCCTCCCTGACAAGGGCATCCCGGCTGCAGCAGCTCCTCCTCCCATTCCCCCAGCCGTGGGTCACTGCCAGCATCCCCTTCCCATCCCACCTGGGCTGGGATGCAGCATCTGGACCTCTCCCACAGCATTCCCCTCTTTCCCTGCTTCCCCACGCTGCCAGGCAGCACAGTTGCCTTTCAGGAGGCTCCATCTCCACGCTGCTCCCTTGGGATGGGAGACTCAGCAGTGTCAGAGGTGCTGCCTCCACGTCCCCTTCCCTGCCAGCTGCCTCCCACACCCCTCTCGCGGTGGCCAGTCAGCCCCTCTGCTCCCCCCATCACCGGGATCAAGGAGCTTCCACTGCAGCGTTTCCTCCCTCCCTGCTCTCTGTCCACCCCAGACCAACCTCCTGCATGAAAAGGGCTCTGAGGCTTCCCAGGAGGCATCAGAGCACATCCCTCAGGAGGGGTTTCTGGGCAGCACCCGCAGCATCCCCAGGGACCGGCCCGGAGCTCCCCATACAGGCCCTGGGGGAGCCTCCTTGGTGCTTCCTCCCTTTGTGCACCCGGACTCCAGGGTGTAGCACTGGAGGAGGATCCAGCTCAGGCTCTGGCTGAGCAGATGCTGCACAGGCACATGGAAGGGGCTGAAGTCCTCACACCCACCACAGCACCGAGACTGAGCAGTGAGAAAAGAGCAACAGAAGCTGCAAGAGAAATGTATGCAAAGTGAAGCACTTGGCAGCACCTAAACCAGCCCCAGGAGCCCTGACCCACAGCACCCCCCTCCTGCCCTGGGAAAGCTGCCTTCTTCCTCCTCAGCCTGGAATCTTACACAGCCATGGCTTTTACATCAACATGCCAGAGATTTGGCTCCTGTCTCTGCTCCTGCTGCTCTTCAGGACCAGTCGGGAACAACCTGCCAAATACAAGCAGGAACCCCAGCACTGCAGGAACACTTGAGCTGTGCACACTGGAGGAGCCTCATTGCATTGATTCAGGGATAGAAGCTCTCTGCTCAGTGCTCTGCTGCTACAGCAAAGCTTCACAAATGGCTTAACTGGTGGGTGCTGGTGTACGTCTGCTGGGCAGTGAAAACCACACACGAGTGCTCCTGGTCCACTCCAGCTGCAGAAACTCCAGTCTGGGACTGGCTGCGCTGACTGACTTGTGTATGGGAAGGACCCTCCTCCCCATTCTCCATGCTGGGAAATTCTCCTCTCTCCTGAGATGCTGTTTCTTCAGGAAGAGCTGGTCTGCACCAAGTGCTCTGCCTCAGCCCTGCAGAGGGTGACAGCACCACCGGGTACCACAGTGCCCCCCCAGCTGAGCCCTGCAATGCAGAGCACGTTCCTACCACCACTGGAGCATCGTGTCCCCAGCACAGACATCACCGAGCGTGGTGGCTGCTGCGTGGCACAGGGCACACAGGAGCCACTGGCACCAGGGACAGGAGCCCTCTGGTACCGGAGCTCAGACCTCGCTGCCTCTTGGCTCCGTTTCTCCCCATGAGTCACTCGCCCACCTCAAAGCCGGCATCCTCGGCCCGTCTGTCGGGACCAGCCGGAGCTTCTGCTCCCCGGAGACGTGCAGAGGGAATAACGTGAGCACAGGCTGCAGGGACCGGGTGGAAGCTGCTCCAAAATGATGAGAAGAGAAGTGTCTGCGCCACAGAGGGGTGGTGGGAGCCAAAGGCCAGCGCTGGAGTTGGTTTAGAACCTCAGCATCTCTCTGTAAGTCACCTCCTGCCATTTCCCCAGTACTCAAGGCCGTTGTTGCAAACTTACAAGGGTATTTACTTACACAAATATTTTTACAATGCTTAAAAATAAACCCTGAGAAATATATTCTAAACATTATCCTTCAGCAGAAGCTGGTGCCTGCCCCATTGAACCATGCACCATGGCCGGCGTTGCCCTGTCTGACATGGCCTTGCACTGCTCTCCCCTGGGATGGCATTTGACAGACCCACAGTCTTGGTGCAGGAGAGGATCCAGCGAAGAGCAGCCCTGCATTTTCTTCTGGCATCATCCTAATCATCCAGTCCGGTCTCCTTTTTTCTGCTAGCAACAAACAAGGAAGACAAGGAAGGGTCAGAAAAGAAAGCAGAAAGCAAGAAGACCCCATCACTAAGTCACTTGGTGAATAAGGGGCTCAGATTCACAGGTTTTGAGATCCATGGCCATAAAAGGGATGAGTTTAGTTTTGTCATTGCACAGACCTCCAAACCAGCTAAACCTTTGTGTGAGCTGCAGCACCTGCCATGGCAGGAAGGTGCTAGAGGCAAAGCTCCAGCACAAACAGGGGACACCCAGCCTGGCTCTGCATGGGGCTACCCCATGGCCTGGCCATGCTATGTGACTGCTATGAGTAGTAGAGCAGAGAAAGCCCCTTCTTTCACCTCTGCCTGCATGACCCAAAGAATAACGGAGCTGAGGAGGGCACGATGACTTGCACCATCCGGCTGTCCTACAGCATCTCTCAGAGCTGCCCCAGTCAGTGTAAGGAATCACTCACTACTGCCACTACAACCTTCACTCCTCCTGGTCCATTGGGCCCCCCGAGCAGGGCAGGCTCTGGGTCCTGACAGGCTTCATTCATCCCCAAGCAGCTCTTGAGGGAGGGCTCTGGTGCCTGGGACTGGTGCAGGTCTGAACCCAACAATGCTCTTGTGAATGGTGCCGAGGAGGCAGCGTAGCCACAACACAGAGGAGCTCCTATACACCTCAATGGACTTGCTACGGATTTACACGAGAGCAGCCACTGGCCTACATTATGTAAGGGGGGGGGGGGCCTGGCCCTCCCCTGCTCTCCGGGGCAGAAGCCAGCTCCTCCCAGGGTATTTCTGTCCCCTCGTGTCACACCTGTAGGCGTTGGTGCTTATTGCAGGCACCGGAAACGCACCAAATCCCCAACGACCTTCCCCAGCAGCGCCCTGCGCAGAGCTGCGTGAGGAGCCATCACCAGAAATCACCCTCCGTGGAGGCAGCAAGTGGCCTGATGTCGCTTGAGCTCACCTTGTTACCCAGCCTGTCCCTTTAATGCCATTACTGAAGATCATTACATGAGCAGATCCCTTTGGGGAGGCAGCTGCCCACACACCCACCTCAGCGCCCCAGAAGCCGCGGCCTCCAGCGGTGAACACAGCTGCTTCCGAATGTACTCCCTCGATCTAATGTCAGCCTGGAATTAAGGAGGAAGAGGAGTGAAAATGGACTGAGCAGCCTGCTCAGGGCCTCCCCTTTCCCATCTCAGTATGCCCCTGCACACCCTATCACAAAGAGCTCCTGTATGACTGTGGTGTGAAGAGGAACCTGCATGTTTCTTTCCTTGTTTGGTTTCTGTGCCTCACTGCAAGCTGCCTGGGAGAATGGAGACTTAAAATGAAGAAACAGAGGGTGCTGGACCTGAAGCCATACTGCAGTTATGGTCCATTCCAGACGCAGAAATGACATCTGCCAAACCCTTGCTGTCTGCTCCTTTACTCCTCACAGGAGTCACGGGGTGGGTGAGCTCCCACCAGCAGCTGTCTGAGCTCTGCTCCCCCATGACCCACCCCAAGCACAGCAGGAACAGCCAAAGCAGGACCCAGCCTGGACGTCCCCAGCAAACCAGCTGCTGCTGGGTGCCATCAGCCTCGCCCAAGGGTCCCTCTGGGACCCAGAGGATGAGCTAGCCCAGGCTTCCAGCACGCACTGCAACGCAGCGAGCCTTCATGCTGTACCTGAGCTGCAGCCCTCTCTGATGAACCCTGGCAGCAGAGCCAGACTGGAGGAGACCTGGGAGTCTGAGACTGCTCCAGTGCTTTCATCCTTTGAACTGACCCAGATGACCCCTTCCACATGTAAGCACCTCCAAGTGCAATGCAGGGAATCATAATGAGCAGCAAAGCTCCTTCACAGGCCTTCCCCAGCAACAGCTCATCAATGCCTGATGAGAGATGGAACAGACTTGTTAGAGACTTGAGGGCAGGGTAAGTCTGCCTTCCCTCAAGAGGAGACATTCCTGAAAGTGAACCAGCTCTCCCACTGAACCCACAGAAGCTGCCCTACCACCCTCACTCCATCAAGGGATCACACGCCCTGATCACTTGGGAAGACAGCAGCCCAGAAGGCGAGTTCTCAAGAGGACATGGGATGAAGAGAGAGAAGCTGGCATCGCCCATTCATGTACCCATCCCTTTCCTTCCTCTGTTCCAGCAGTTGTGTTGTGCAGCAACAGATGGAGGAAGCTCACCCCTCGTCTGCTGCATCTCCTGTTCCTAGGCAAAGCTTGGCTCATCCTGCCTGTGTGCTCGAGGGGCTGGCACTGCATGGGGATTGTGCAGCTAAAGCAGGTAAAACACCCACTGGAAGCCAACAGAGACAAGACACAAGCACAGCCCTGGCAGCAGCTGCAAGGCAAGAGACTGTCACACCTTGCACACTGTCCTACTCAGGAGGCCAAAGGCAAAGCTGCCAAGGAAGACAACGGGAGCAGTTTACATGCAGGCCATACCTGTGCTCTGGGCTCTGTTTTCTCATACCAAAATCAAAAGGAATAATGTTGAGACCCTGCCAAATTGATGTTTACTGCCCCCCTGTTGAAACTGAGCTTGGAGCCACCACCAAACCTCATCAGAACCATCCTTACACAGGCCCAGCTCCTCCCTTCCTCTTCCGACATGCTCTCCTGTGACTCCTGAGCTCACCAGGAAAACTACATGGCTGTGTCTTAGCACTCTGTGTCTCAGCAGCAAGGCAGAGTGGGGCAAGGACAGCACCAACAGAAATCCCAAGAGCTGTAAGAAAGTGCTGCTGGACATTTACAGCATGTTCTTACTCCCAGAGTGCTACCGTGCAGCTTTCCGGTGCTGCACCATGCTAGCAGAGCACTCCAAGATGCTCATAAGCACCTGGATCCTGGGCTCTGGAGGACTTTGGGAAGTGGCAGTTGATTTTTACATTCCCTCAGAGATTTTTGTCTTTTTTATAAACTTCCCTTCTCCAAACCACTGCTGCTCTGTGGCATTCAGAACCGCTGCGGTACCCCTCCTCACAGGCGCAGTGTCTCTCTCCACTCAAAAAGCAGGATGTGACCTTTCCCAGCTGGAAAAGCTGCAGAGCACATGATGATCATGCTAATAAAGTGGGTTAACGCATCCCCCAGTGGCACTGAAGCATTTGCTGCTCCCATCCCTGTGCTACTTCTGAAGAGCTTCTCCCCCCCCCCCAAGAAGCTCCCCAGCACGGCTCCGTCAGGCCCCTAGGGTGGTGGCTCTGTGGGCTCAGGGCTGGAAACACTCATCCACCACTGCTTAACCATCTGCAAGCCTGAGAACGAAACACAGTTACATAAGGGATGGTTTGTTTGGGAGATTTTTTTTCCCTTCTCTCTATAATTGGACAGTTTCATAACTGAACTGACAAATAACTTTGATCACTCTTCAGGATAAGAGATTACGTGATGTATTTTATAACAGGGAAGGAGGTTGTCCAATAAAGCCCCTACTGGGAGATCAAGGTAGCAAGAGTCACATCTACAAACCATTTTTCTAGGGAAGAAAACCTACCACGTTGTGCTGGTCACATAAGCCAGTGCCTGATCAGGTGGCAAGTTGCTGGCCAGTCCTCACTCCTAACGCAGTGCTGAGACACAGCTTAACCCAGCGATTAACCAGGAGGCTCATCAATAAGATGGATAACTGTCCAGAAATAATCCTCACAGGCTGTTTCTATTTTCAGAGGGAACTAGTCCTGCCATTAGGGTCTGGAACTGTTGCTTTGCCTGCTTTGTGAGGGGCAGCAGTGATCCCTGTGCACACAGCAAGCTGGGTGGGGGTACAACTGAAGAGAGTTGGAGTTTCAGGGCATCAGCTACTGATTTCTCTGCTGGGCAGCAGGAGTTCTTCACACAAAGAGGAATGATGGCTCATTCCTTGGTTCCCCTAAGGGCATGGGTTTGGTATTTCACATGCAGTGCCATACCCACAGCTCCAGGCAGTCTCCTGCTCTCCCTGGTGGGCTGGAGCAACCAGGCTGTCCCACCAGCCCCATTCTGAGCCAGCAGAGGCAAGGTGCCAGCTGGAGCTGAAAGGATCAAGTGAGCTGGAGGCTGGTGTGCAGCCAGCCAGGAACCTGGAGCAGGGAGAGCCAGAGTCAGTCCCAGTGCAATCCTCTCAGCTGGAGAGCGTTAAAAGCTGCTGTTGCCCTGCTGTGTGCAGTGATCCTGGCTCTGAGCAGGCCAGGAGCATGGGCAAGCACTGGAGAGGGCCTCTGACCTCTGCCACAAGCAGGCAAGGGCAGCTGCTCTCTGGAGGGCTCTGTATGGCTTCATTGCCACTCACTTTGAGTGCTTTGCTTATTGTCCTGGGATGACAGCTCCTGCCTACCTCAGTCCCTGTCTGCGTGTCTCCATATGACCAACTCTCCACAGAAGAACCTCAACATCTCACAAGAGATCACCCTCATGCAAGCAAAATTCTCCCAGATTGGCCTGGCACTTCCCCAGGGAGTCAGGACTAAGTGGGAGGTAAATACTGACTGTAGGTGATAATGAACTTCCCTCTGCTTTCTCGGAAAGATCACTTCTCTCACCTTTGGCAGCCTGGCCACAGTGTGGGCTGAATGCGAATCAAACCATTCCTGATCACTGCCTGGAGGCTGTTGCATGCACAATACACCCTGAACAGATGGGTCAGCCATACCTCTAGGAAAGCAGAAGGTCTGAGTTCCCACAGAAGCTTCCCAGCACTATACATGCTGCAGCATACAAGCCATAAGCACAGCCTCAAGAAGGTATGGGCAGCACAGCTCTCTTAAGAACACACTTCCAGGACTACCAGAACTTACAAACTAAGAGCTGCTGATTCAGAAGTCTTTCATGAGTGAGAAAGCCATAAGCACCATCACCCATCAGGTCTGCAAGCTTGTGTGGGGGACATACCATAGCAAAAGACCAAGGCAGGATCCCCCCACAGCCATCCACTTCCTAACTCCAGCTTGAGGTGCTCCAAAGCTGAGGCTCTGTGTCAAGATCTGTGAGTTACCATGCAGAGGAACTGCAACAGGGAGAAGCCCCATTTTAAGTGCCCTTTTCTCCTGCCATCCCTCTACCTCTACAGTAAACACACTCCCTTCTGGGTTTTTGATCTCTCTGTAAGGAAAGTGACAATTCATTCCATCACTCCAAATCAAGATTGCAGCTAGAGGCCTGGGAGAGTCTCAGAACACAGACAAATCCTAGAGCTAGCTGGAAACGAAATGAGGGTGATGAAAAGCTTCAAGACACCTTTTTGTTTCCAAAGGGAATGCCTTTCCCCTTCCCTCTGAGCACGCCGCTTTGCAGAGCTGGCTCAGAGCTGGCTCAGAGCTCTGCAGAGGCATCTGTCCCTTGCTGGAGGAGATTACATAAGAAAATCTCTCAGCCTACTCCCGTCTGGCAGGTAGTGGTTTATGGGATTAGAAACCCCCGTTCTGGAATGGACACTTCAAGGTTTGTTTTGCTCTGAGGTGTTAGATTTGTGTCTGGTTTATAACTACAGACTCAAGACTCTGTTGTCAGAAAACACGTTCTGCAGCACCAGCGAGAGGCTCCTGTGTGCAGAGACTGCGTAACAGCCTCAGCAGCATCACCTTAGCACGGCTCTGAGGAGCTGCAGAGCAAAGGTGGCCACACACCTGACAAGTGCGGTGCTGCAGCAACGTGCACAGTGTGTTCCAGGGCACCTGCACCACCACGGACATCCCAACAGGCCCTGCCTGAGCCACTAACAGCGGGGTGACCCTGCGAGAAGGGAAGCACTTGCCAGGCTGGAAGTCCCAGAGGCTCTACACTTCCACAGATCCTTTCCTCAAACCCTGCTGTGATTTAATTAGTCTGAAGCTGAGTCTCGGTGATCGCTGCGGCTCACTGATGGTGATTCAGTGCTGTCACCTACAGGCTGGCTGCTGCCCCAGAGCCTGCAGCTCCTTGTGGAGTGCAGTAGCAGGGAAAGGCCCAGAGAAACAGCCCCGCAGTCTGTGCTAGGCTCAGAGTGCCCAGGAAAAGTGCATTTCCAGCATGTGTATTAACAGCAGCGTCACAGAAGTTGCCTGCACAAAGGAACCAAGAGATCAGTCAGGCTGGGTCTGCAGTAAGGGCTGGATGTGCTTCTGGGCACTGTGTCACCACAGCAGTGGGAGAACAGGCTAGAGCAGAGGGTGCCAGCTCCAGAGGCTCTTAAACACCATGGCAGGCTTGGCAGCCAGAGCCCCTCCGCTGCTCGCTCTTCTGCTCCAGGCTGCTCCTCAGCTCCCTGCTCCCGTACCTGGCGGATGGGCTCCGGGATGCGGTAGCGGCAGCAGGACTGGACCAGGCGCACAGCCGTCCCCAGGCACACCCTGTGCCCCACCGAGACGTAAAGCGGCTTAGAGCTGTTGTTGCAGCTCCGCAGGACCTGTGCATCCAGAAACAAGAAAGATCAAATACTTAAGCAGCTTATTTTAACAGCTAGAGTGGCAGTTGAATTCTAAGGCAGTTGCCAAACAGAGAGCCACCATCCCACCTTCTGAAGGCAACTCCCAGCTTTCTTGAACCTCTTCTGTTAGCCCTTTTGGCCTGCTGGAGCCCTTTCCCAGATGCCTCACGCTGCTCTGGGAAGCAGAGCTGCTAACACAGACTGTGCTGAAATCCCACGAGACACAGGAAGTTTCTTACATCTGCCTGTTCCCTGCACAGAGCTCTCCTGAGGCAGATACTCCCATATTGCACCTTGGTGAGAACTGGCACCTCTCCCTGACCGCAGTTCATGAACAGGGGTGCTGGGGCATGGCACCTCAGACACTGCAGCCATGGATGTGAATGCATCCACCACCTCAACTGGCAACTCTGCAAGCATCTGAGCTCGCAGAAGGAAGGACGCAGTGGTGGCAGTAACCTGTTCACACTGAGACAGAGCACCCTCCTGTGCTCCCAGCTACACAAAGCTGGAAGACTTGATGGCCAAGCAAATAGGAAATTCCACACTGCTTACCATGCCCAGGAGCCTCCCCGAAGCGCCTGTCAGTGGGAATGTATCTCCTTCCCTCTGCAGGGAACGGATCTAGGGATAAACACACACAAACTCAGCTGGTCAGGAAGTGCTTGTATGCTGCTGTCCCAATTCTCTGGGGAAATAAATTCCCAGCCTGGCCTCACCTGCTCTCTGTGCAGCTCATCCTTGGCTAAGCCATCCACCTGCAGGAGGTTCTTGGCCACTCCAATGCATGGTAGATCTGTCAGGACTCCGAGGTGACAGGCCACACCAAACCCTGCCAACAACGAGTCACTGTAACCACAGGATGCCAGAGAACTGGAATGTCAAGCAGCAGCGCAGGGACCCTGCAGAGCGGGGCTCTCCAGTGAAGTCCTACCTCTGGGGTGGAGCAGGCCATTCCCATCTACAAGAAGTACCTGAAAAAGCCACAGCAGAAATGTTATTTCCTGTGCACTGAGCACCACTCTGTCAAGCAAACCGGCCCCGTGAGGAAGAAGGCTCTGTCCTTCATCTCAACTCAGGACAGAGAAATGTGCCACACCTGAGGCTTGAGCTTGGGCTCCTCCTGCTGAAGCCTCTGAACAGCTTCCACCAGGAAAGGGACCTCCCGGAAGGCCAAGAATCCTGCCACGTACGGGGCACTCACAGCCACCATCCGGCAATCCTCGTACAGCACCTGGGAGCAGAGCAGAGGCGGTGACCACCAGGGCCTTGCTGGTCCGTTCCTGGCTGCTTCAGAGGCCTCTCCTCTGGTTTACATCCCTTAGACTCATCTGATTTAAGATATGCTGCTTCTGACTCTCTCCCACAGAGCTGAGGTCACTGGGTTGTGTCAGTGACAGAAGGGGTGGGCAATGGACCGCTGAGAGGAGGGCTGGACATCACCATACCCTGCTTGAGAGCAGGCTCCTTGGGAAAACACGAGGGCAGCTCTTTAAACTGACAGAGGGGAGAGCTCAAAGCTCACCCACTCAGAGCATCATCAAAGGGTGTCTGGCTCCATGCAGGGCAGGCCCAAAGCATCCCTGTCAGCCCACAACACCCACAAGTGTGCAGGGCAAGGCAAGAAGCAAGGCAGGATTTGAACACTTCAGCTCATAAACATCCCAGTGGCCAGCATCAAACTTTATTGGTTAGAGGTTTGATAGTTAAAGATAACTTTGTATCATATTGAAAGCTGGGAAAGAAACCAAAAATCTTTATTAATTCAAGTAAAATGACTGGGGGGTGTGGGATTGACGGTGGTTTTGAAAGGCTTTTACATGTTACATCCCATATTATTAGCTGATTCCCAGCAAGAACTCAAACCCAAGACAGCTGCAGTTTGAGTGCTACAAGTGCTTTAACTCCCTCTCTTGATCAGCCCTGAGTAACAACGGTCCTTTTCATCTCCTCCTGAGTGGTGGCTGAGGCAGATTCTTCCCAGCACACACTTAAACCAGTTAAAGCCTTCCGTGCTGACCATGGAGCCCATCTCATGATGTCACTAAACCACGCAAGCAGTAGCTAACCTGAACGCACGCTGAAGCTCCCTCCCCACCTCGCACGCTCCCACCCCACCCTGCCCCACTGCCCCCAGCAGCACAGCCCGCTCTGGGCTGGAAGGGGCCCTCCGCACATGATGGCCTTTGGGTGAGTCTGCTGGAACCCCCCCTCCCGCTGTTCCACACCCGGACGGAAGCCTTCAGAGCCAGCGTTACCTCCAGAGCCGGGTAGCTGAGCACGACCAGGGAAGCGCAGGCGCTGCTCTCATCTCCTTTCATGTAAGACAAGTCCACGCCTCCCACCCGCTCCAGCCCCGGGAAGCTGGAATCTTTCTGCCACTGCTCCGTGTCCTCCTCCACCACGCTGGCTCTCAACCGGGCCTGCTCCCTGAGAACCAGCACCCAGCCGCCGTGAACGGGTGCCTCCTCCCCCGGCTCCCGGCCCTGCCCATCCGGACCCAAGGCACGGGGCCCAGGCTGTGCCCAACGACCGGCAGGAGCGCACAGGCCCCAGCTCTGGGGCAAAGCTCAAGGGGCCCCAGCGGCTGTAGGGACAGGGGCGGCCCTGTGCTTTGTCCTCAAGGGAGGAGCTGGCCAAGGGAACACCCTTGTGAGAAGCACGGCTGAGCGGGGCAGGGGGTGAAGGGGACCCCAGCCCGGTACCGAGGGGGAGAGAAGGGGATCTCGGCAGGATAGGCCCGGTAGCGAACGCAATCGCGTACGGTTGCCATGGCCACCATCACCACCTCCCCCCGCGCATGCGCAGGCCCTGCCGTTACCGTTCCCAACGGCGGAGCGCAGCGGCCGGTGGCGGCGCCGCCATGGCGCACACCGGAAACCCGCGTCACTCACACCCACACACACACACCCCCCCCGCGGGCGGAGCGCGGCCTGGCCGGAGGAACGGGAGGAGCCGCGGGAGAGAGAAGGAGCTTTATTGGGAAAGGGCTCCGGGGCGCGCCGGCCCCAGGCGGGGTTAAGGCAGCGAAGAGGCAGCTTGGGCCCGCGGGTCTGCTTGGTTCCTCGGCGGAGGTGCAGCCCCATGCGGGCGAAGGGACAGGAGAAAGGAGAGTGCAAAAATCAGCCCCGGCCCCGGGGAATGGCGCTTTGAGAGTCCCTCATCAGGGGATTTGTGATGCCCCAAGGAGGGTCCAGTCAGAGGGGCAGCCTTCGGGTGCCTGCGGCCCCCAGTGCTGTGCGCCAGCCCAGCGGTGCTGAAGCTAGCCAAGCAGCCGTGCTGCTGCCAGGCTTAGCCCTCCCTGCGCTCCCGTTTGAAGACAGCAGCCGCTTTCCAGGTAGCAGTAACCTGAGAGAGAAGAATCTGGTCCGGGAAGAGCTCCTCCAGCTCCGTGGCTAACTCAGAGCGTTTTGCATCAAGATAAGGCAGGAGCGATTCCTTCAGGCTGGAAAACAGCAGAAGTAGTGTTAATAAATGGTGTCTAGGAAACTACAAGTGCCACATGGCAGCATGCACACTAAGTATACAGTGGTTTAATACATGTATTTTGTAGTGAGGAGGATCTAACAGCCTGCCAGAGAACCCAGCAACAAGAGGCTGCAGGTCAGAACCAAGCTGTGTGCATTCATCCAAGTGACTGCAGAAGGGCTTGTGTTTGGTGCCCATAAACAGCAGCGCTCCCAACACACCTTGTGTAAAAGAGAGTTATGCATACCAGAAACAGGCAGCATGGCTCAGAGCTGAATGCTCTTAACGTTGGTGTCAGGCAGGGCGGTCATTTGCCAAGGGAACCATTTCCATCACGTGCGTTTTCAGAGCCAGAGCAGCCTAAGTTAACAACTGTGGTGCATTTGGGCTATGCAGCTCTTACCTCCACTCGGGGCTGAATTCACCTACAGTGTGGATGTGTCTCAGCTGCAAGACTATCATTTCATGGAGTTCCTGCAGGAAGGTTTCCAGCCTTGAGTTTACAAGGAAGGTGGTGAGGAGCTTGGAGGTCTCTGGAGTGAGCTCATCTTTGTAGGCAGCACTGATGTCCACAAAAGGGTCCTAAAAATGCAGTCAGGGAATAAAACCAAACCAAACACACACATTTGAGCAAGTTCAGTTGGAGGACAGGAAAAAGCTGATGAGACAGTTAATGTTATGAGGGTACCTTACCCTTCTGAGGCGCAGAAGCTGCTCAGATTTGTGGGTAGAGAGAAGCTGCCACAGGGCTATGTTGTGCTTTAGATGGCATTGTCTGAGGGCCTGAAAGAAAAAACACATCTATGGAGTGACCCTGGGTGTAAAGGATGTATTTAGGAACCTGACCACATCCTGCCCTGCCCATGCAGCAGAGCTGCAGAAGAGCACAAGGCAGAGGGAGGGAGTTCGCTGAGCCCTTTTCACCCAGGTCTGCAATAGGCTTCTCTCCCTCTTCCCCAGTTTGCCTTCAATAATCCATCTTTTTGGTATCATGAAGGGGAGTGGGAAAGTGATTTGGCTCCGTCACACGTACTTGTCATAACATGGTGCCTTTGGCCCTTATCAGTCAAGGGCCTCTTCACACATCATTAGCGGATAAAACCTTGCCCTGTCACCACAGGTAAAGGGATGTTTTCAGTCCTGCTCAGCAGCAGCAAACCAGTGTTGCTGAAAGCTGACTCATAATTGAGAGTTCTCCCTTCTCAGTTTTAGCATTGCAACTCATTATGCTGACACTCAACTGAGAATTCTCCTTCCTGGTGCTGACAAGAACTTGGATCTGCAGAGAAGTTTGACCTTCTGCACATCCTGCACCTGACCCTTCTGTAGGGTTCCGCAAGAACCAGCTGAGCACCACAAACTATTAGATACTCCCACTGGTTGCAGGGGAAGTGAAAATTGTTTCCTCCCTGATGTTGAATACAGTGGAGAGGGAATTCTATCACCTTTTCAAGCTGAATTTGTGCTGGGCTTGGAGATCAGACTGGCTGGATTTTATCCCATAATAGTAAGAGCTTTGCTCTCAGGACTCACCTGCAGTACATGAGGGTTTGTCTGGTCACCCATGTGCAGAACCTTCTCAATGTAGTCAGTCAAAAGCATTTCTGGATCCTCTCCAGCCATGGCCAGGAATCCCAGGGTAATTTCAGTGACAGACAGAGCATCACAGACATCACTGTAAGACTGTAGTTCCCCACTGATCATGTTCATCACAGAACTGGGGAGAGCACTCTGAAAACCACAAAGTCAAAGCAGTTGCCAGCATTAGTTTGGAGGCAATCCTTATCTGCTGCTCAAGTTGCTAAAGCCATGGAAGATGGCAGAGCCCCTGATTTAGGAAACTGATAGTGCTTAAGTGTATCCCTTTCTTTCTTAAATCCTGACTGACAGAGGGCAGCCATTCAAGGCATGGTGAGAGATTAGTGGACCAGCCTTCAGATGAACAAGGCAAGTGACACAGGACAAACCCGACATTTCTAGGGACATCAGGGATCATGTGCTTGCCCCATTTCCTCCAGTGCAGAAACCCACCTGATCCACCTTATTCCTGACATCATTAAAGAGCTGTTCGTAATTCCGATCACGTCTGTACACGAGGGTGGGTATTCCCTGTCAGGAGAGAAACCCACAGCTGTAAAGCTTTGCTTGCCCCATTACAGCGCATGCCCAGCTGCAGCAAACACTGCAGGGCTCCAGCAGCAGCTGAGAAGCTGTCTGCAGGAAGCATAGCTAAGCTGCCTTGTCCTACCGTTAGGGTGATGAGTGGTTTCCCCTGCAGGAACTTGCTGATGACTTGCTGCTGGATCTTCTCCAAATCAAAGTCCTGCAACGTCTCCCCTCCCTTCTCCATGCTGTACTGGCAGTTGGACAGGATCAGAGGAATCAGGTCTTTCTCAGCCTCGTAACTGATCAAGTGCAGGTCAGACACTTCTGAAGGACTGATCAAGTACCTGCAGAAGAGAAAACAATCTCCATTTAGAGCAAGAAGCCTTTATGAAGCAGGAAAAGCTGGTTGTGCTGTAGCAGGCAATACAACAGAGCCCCCCAAAAATACCTAGCAACGTACCTATCATCTTCCTTGATGTGCTTGTTCACTGAGTAGATGAAGTCATTGTGCAGACTAATGAGGTAACTGGTTAACGCTGTGGAGCAGAGGCCCAGTCCCCGTCGACGTGGCAGAAGGACCTCAAACTGGCTGTCCAGGGTAAGGTCAGCCTCACAGTAGCCATCAGGAAGCTTAATTTCCCCTGAAATAAAAGGCAGAGAAGGCTGCTTGAGGTGGCCCAGAGCCAGCCCACGATGAGCAAGCCTCTCCTGAGCTGACCCATGGCAGGAGAAAGTACAGAACTTGAGCAGAGCAGTGCTCTTTCCTTTACAGATAAGCATGGAAGGGAACAAGTTCAGGAGAGACTTTTACAGGAGGGAAACAAATTTGTCCCTCTGCACCCAGATATTCCCAAATCTTTAGTGGGCAGGGTCAGTTCTGAGCATATGTCTCAACATCTTTGATGGAAGGAAGTTGAACTGGTGAAGAGTAGAGGAGCACTGTTAAACAGCTGGGAAGCCCTTGTTCCTATCACCCTCAGAACAATGCTGGGAAAGAAGGGGACTCACCATTGGTGTCCAGTGAGCTTCTCAGCTTGTTCCAGACAGACAGAAACACATTCACTCTCCTCTGTAACAGTTCCCTCATCACATCTGAGGAGTAACAGAAAGATGTGCTTAAGTACAACCGAAGGAGTTACCACAAAACACCTGCACGCTGCTCATGAATGGATGGACATCTCTTCCACCTTTAGGCAGGCCCTACTCTAGGACAGAGCTTAAAAAGTTAAATAAACACACTGCTGCATTGAGGGATTTATCTTGCCTATCTCTGAGCCGAGTCCCCTCTGTCCCTTGTGAACAATCTGCCTGTGCTTAACTGTCTTTAAAGTCACCTGATGACTTTTCCAAGTTTAACTCGAGGGTTAAGGTCTCCTCTTCATAAAAAAGGAAAATGAGGGGTTAAGATTGCAGCTCAAGAGAACTTTTCACCTTCGTTTTCAACTGGACTATCCAGTGCTTTTTGTTTCCCCAATTACAGGTTTGGCAGAGTCTTCTCACCTGAGAGGGGTTCGCTGAGGAAGTCTCTGATGGAGCCGTGTTTGACCTCAGCAGTGTTCTGAAATCGCCTCACCAAGTCTCTCTGCAGAGCCAGAATCTCTGGTAAGAACTTAACCAGCCTCAGTTCTGCTTCCTGGAAGAGGAAAGGGGGCCTGTGAGGAAGCTTGTTCCCAGATGAACCAGGTTGGAATACTTCCCATGGAATTACTTTTGAAATATTTGTAATAAAAACTATTTTACATGTGCAGTGCTTGAGATTAAAGTTATGAGAATAGAGACTGTATAATCAAATGGTGGCTCAGTCCTGGGTAACTGGCTGTAGGGACAACCAGCCTGAGCAGGGTTGGACCAGACAACCTCCAGAGGTCCCCTCCAGCCACAACCAGTCTGGTTCTGTGAACTGATCTCTGACCATTGCAGCCTCATCCCTGTGTCGCACCCACCTTCTGCAGGAACTTCCAGAGGAGAGGGACACTGTCCTTGGCATTCTTTTGCTGGACTACATGGCCCAGGTTCTCCACTGAAATCCTCTTTCGGCAGCTCCACATCTTGGAGTGATGTATGTGACTGTCCCTTGGCAGCTGGGACAGGAAAGTGGCTGGGTCACCATACACGACTTTCAGTACTGGGTTGGAAGAAATCCTCTCGTCCTCTTGTATTTGTCTGTTTAACTTCAGAAGTTTTTTGTCCAAATCCTGCATTTAAAAAACCCAACCAAAGAATGAGATCAGAGCTGGCAGCGTCCTGCCACACTGAACCACCAGAGTCTGTTTCCCTTGGAGCTTGACGACCAATTGACACAGGTATGTCAGAACAGAAGATGA